TTGCACCCTTTGAGCCTGTGCCCATTGTCCGCACCCCGACGTACGGGGATTTGTGCGCCCCGACAGTGTGCGCCGCCAAGAAGGTGGCTTCGCCCAAGGACCGAGTGCAGCTGGTCGAGGCCAAGGACATCTGCTACAAGGAGGGCTTCTACAACGGGACCCTGCTTGTGGGCAAGTACGCCGGGGAAGCCGTGCAGACAGCCAAGGCCAAGGTGCGTGATGACTTGATTGCCGCGGGCCTGGCCTTCCCTTACGCCGAGCCCGAGGGCTTAGTAATGTCTCGGTCGGATGATGAGTGCGTGGTCAATCTGTGTGACCAGTGGTACCTAGACTATGGTGAGAAGGTGTGGAGGGCTCAGGTTGAAAGGCTCCTCGTCCACATGAACACGTATGGGGAAGAAGCACGTCACCAATTTGAGAAGACCCTGGCGTGGCTGAACCAATGGGCGTGTGCCCGATCCTTTGGTCTGGGAACTAGGCTGCCTTGGGACCCACAATTCCTCGTAGAATCCCTGTCGGACTCCACAATCTACATGGCGTACTACACGGTCGCGCACATGCTGCACCCCGATTGTCTGGATGGATCCAAGCCTGGACCCTTCGGGATTACCCCGGCCCAGATGACCGATGCAGTCTGGGAGTATCTGTTTGGATGTGGAGCTAGCGCTAACCCGGCGGATTACCCTGAGCTTCAGGCGTCCTTTGCCAGCGAGAAGGTGGACCCCATCCCCGATGCTGTCCTGCGCAAGATGCGACGGGAGTTCCATTACTGGTATCCCCTTGATCTCCGTGTGTCCGGAAAGGATTTGATCCCTAACCACTTGACCTTCTTCCTTTACAACCACGCGGCCCTCTTCCCCGAGAGCATGTTCCCTCGGGCCGTCCGATCCAATGGACATCTCATGTTGAATGGAGCCAAGATGGCCAAGTCCACTGGAAACTTTTTGACTCTGGAGCAGTCCGTTGAACTTTACGGAGCTGACGCTACGCGGGTCGCCTTGGCTGATGCCGGGGACGGGATGGAGGATGCTAACTTTGAGGCCAGTACGGCCAACGCTGCCATCCTTCGCCTCCACACCTTGAAGGAGTGGGCTGAGGAGGTGATGCGGACTCACGAGACGGCCAAGCCCGTTGCTCCCGGATCCCCAGCCGAATTCTGGGGTCGGGTGTTCCTGGCCGAGATGGCCAAGTGCGTTCAGGAGGCCGAGCGGGCCTACGATGGTATGATGTACCGGGATGCCCTGAAGGCTGGACTATACGAGCTCCAGGGGGCGCGTGATCGGTACCGTGATGCGGTGGGTGGGGATGCCGAGATGGACATTGCTCTGGCTCGACAGTACCTGGAGGTGCAGACTATTCTGATCACGCCGTTTGCCCCTCATCTGGCTGAGTACCTGTGGGTACAGGTCCTGGGTCACACCGAGGGGGATGGAACGGTGATGTCAGCCCGCTGGCCTACTGTGGCCGTCCCGGAGGATTCCGTGGAAGTGCTTGCGGCGGCCGAGTTTATCCGGGATCTGACACGTCGAGTGCGTGAGGCTGAGGCCACGGCGCTGAAGCGGAAGAAGTCGACCAACTTTGACCCTAGCAAGCCCAAGGCTCTGACGCTCTATGTGGCCAAGACCTATCCTGCCTGGCAGGATGGGGCGATTGGGGTAGTGAAGGCGTTGTACGAGGAAGCCGGGTCCCTGGAGGATGGAAAGGCTCTGAAGGCGGCGTTGGCCAAGGGAGGTTGGATGAAGGATAAGCGTGTGATGCCTTTTGTGCAAGAGGTGAAGAAGCGGGTGGCATCCCTTGGAGCGGATGCGGCGTTTGCGCGGACCCTAATGTTTGACGAGACTAAGACACTGGAGCTCTTGGGGTCCGGGGTTCAACGGGTTCTTGGGTACGATACCCTGAGCATCCGGTCCAAGGAGGATGTGCTTGGTCAGGAGGGAGCCGATGATGCGGAGAAGCGTCGTGCTGATCTCGCTGTTCCCGCCGAACCCTCCATTTTCTTTGAGAACATTGTCTCTCAATAAGAGGAGAGTTTGGGAGGGGAGGGTGATGCGTGTGAGTGTGGAAGAGAAGAGTGAATGGACAGAGAGAACAAAGATGTTGATGAGATTGGTTTGATGAATTGTGGTTGTATTTGTGACCCTTACGGGAAAGAGGGGTGTGTCTTTCAAGAGGTGACTGCAGTGACCTTCAAGAGAGGATTGTATACGTCCCCGGGGGGATGGGGATAGGGAATAGAAATGAGAGGAGGATTAAAGTACATTGGGGAGTTGATCGAGGAGATGCTCGACCTTGGCTTTAGGATGAGTATGAGTACGGGAAAAGGACTGGGAGAGAGGACTGGGCTGTTGACCAATGACCGAGGAGGAGGGACGGGGGGGAAGCCAGGTGCGGTCCTTGAGGGGACAGATGATCTTACCACGAAGCATCATGAGTCTTTCAGAGGCGAGCATCCGTTCCTCGGCACCGTTGGCCCGGATGGATCGGGTGAGCGGGCCGGCGGGGAGGATGCAGGATACGGGTGGGACGGGAGCATGGCAAATTCCCCAGAGATCCGCCTCAATTTCCTCGGTCATGGATGGATCAATAGGGGATGAGGAGGGAGGGGAGGAGGAGGAGGAGGGGGTGTATGCATTGAGGATATGGTAGGCCAGCTGAGCCCTCCAAGCGCGGTCCGGACCACAGGGACCCTCGTCGAGGAGACGACGAGCGTCGGAGAGATACTGAAGACCCTGGAGGACTCGATGGGATTGTGGATCCTCATCCTGGGCGGCGGTTGTAGGGGCGGCAACGTAGGAAGGGGGGGGACTGTAGTTGGGTAGGGAGGTGGAGCCTAGATCCTCCAGGACCACATCATCAAAAGAGACAAGGGAGGTACAGGAGGGTAGGGGGGTCAAGGCAAAGTGTTCTACCTCTTCTTCCTTGGAGAGGGAGGTGGAAGAGGGGGAGGACTCGGGTATTCGAACAGGATCGGAGATGAAGGGGTTGAATTCGGAGAGGGAAGGGCGGGGATGAGGGGAGGGGCGAGTGTCCTTTCGTAATGCTTCCTCTAGAGCCTTGACCAGTCCCTTTTCTTCCCCGGTTCGATCCATCTTTTTTCTTGATGCAGAAAGAGGACGGAAGAGGGAGGGAAAGAGACGACGGGCCCAGTGGATAGGGACAACGGAGGGGGTATCTCTTGAGGCTGAAAGGATCCTTTTCCCTCTTTTCCTCGGTTCGCCATGGTGTCTTCCCGATCTTTTCCCAATCGGGTCTACTGAGGCTGGGTGATGCTCCGGTAGGATGGGCAGGGGATCGTCGGTGGAAGTTGTGGTGTAGAGTGGAAGCATACTGAGGAATAGAATGAAAGGGGGGAGGAGGAGGGGATCAAGGATGGGGCCGTTACGAAGGGAGAAAGGGGAAAAAGAGAGGGAGCAGAAGCAAAGAGAGGAAGAGGTGATGGGGTACGAGGGGATACGAAGAGGGAGGGTGCAGTAGATGATCTGAGGGGGCCAAGAAAAGAGAATAGTCAAGAGAGAAAGGAAAGGCCAGGGGAGAGGTGGGGGAAGGAGCGGAGCAAGAAGGGAGGTGTGGTCACAGAGCAGGATGGTGGTGGTTAAGTAGAGGATCGGAGCTTGAAAGAGGATGGAGGAGATAGGACAGAGCAGGAGGAGGGAGTGACGGTGAAGTGAGGTGTGTTGTTGGCGAATCTCCGACTGGGTAGGGAGAGACGATGACTAGGCGATAGGGATGAGGATAGGGATAGGGGAGTAGAATCAGGACGAATAGGGGGGTAGAATCAGGACGAATAGGGAGAGGAAGGCGTCAGGAGCCGTAAAGGGAAGATAGAAGGGGTATGGATAGGTCAAATGGATAGGGAGATGAAGGGTGAATGATGGAATGAAAGGGCTCAGGGCAGCTTTTAAGGATGATGGATCGGTCGATAATTCCGGAATGGGGCATCGATGAAGGAAGGAGCCTGGAGATCTGCCTTGCTGCGATGTTATGATGTGTGTGTGTGTGTGTGTGTGAATGGGAGGCAAGGTGAGGAGGGGAATGATGGGTGATAGGGACTGGATGGAGGGGGAGAGACAAAAGTGAGGAGGGGAAGGAGATGCGCTCAAGGAGGGAAAGTAGGATCACCGATGAGGTTATATACACCAAAGCAAAGCCTGTACATTAAGAGAGGAGGGGAGTGTGAAGGGATGTGACCAACGGGCCCCCGCCTGATATCTACCCCAACAACGAACGACACGTAGGAGGTGGAGGAAGAGGGGGGGAGGGGGCAGGGCTGACGCAGGTATCTCCCGGCTCTGCTCTCTCCATCAAGGCGTTAGGTTTAAGTGATGGCCATTGGGTAGAAGATGCAGGTCGACGCACATTGTAGGACAGAGTCAAGTAGGAACGGAGAACGGGGATGGTCCAAGGGCCCAGCAAGGGAAGGACGATGTGGGTCTCATGGATAGCCCCATCCCATGAAGACGGGGGGAGGGGAGAGGACATACAGTACATATGTGTGTGTGTCTGGAACAAGGCAAAGCTCTTGCGCGATACCAGATCCCGGGGCACTTGTACAACCTGAAGAGGATCTGCTATGATAAGATAGACAACAGGAGCATCCAGGGGATGGGGATGGATGAGAGGATGATGCCATGTCTCTGGGATTCAGCGCAGGGACGGGGACATCCGAACGCGGAACAGCGCTTTTTCCCTGATTGCACGGATAAATGCTCCTATCCATCTACACGGCACGCCATTGACTTGTGCTTTCTCACTGCCGTTGCAACCCTCTTGAAGAGAAAGGAGTTGCACGGTCATGCGACCAAGTCCTCCTCCTCTTTCCCACCCTTGCTTAGATCATGGGGTCTTCCTCCACTCTCTGCATGGTTGATCCAGAGAGAGGGGGGCCCATGTCGACATGGGCCCTATCCCTACAGGGAAGGAGGCAGCGGTGCTGCAAATGCGATGGAGCGGACCTTGGACAGTCCCGACAAGACCTGGGAGAATAAAAAAGAGTGACAAAAGGGCCCGACCGGGAATTGAACCCGGGACCTCTCACACCCAAAGCGAGAATCATACTACTAGACCATCGGGCCTTCAATGTTTGTAGTTAGCGCTGTTCTTCGTGTACAGTTAGAGTTTAGGGAGTCCAAAAAGGGGGCTCGAACGGCTTATTTGCATTCGTTCCCTGGGATGCCCCCTTAAATGCTGATCTGTATGGATAAGGCTTCGAATGATGATAAGAGCTAGGCCTGGGGCTCGATGGGATGGGGATGGATGAGTGGTCAAAAGACATTGGAAAAAGAATGCTTTGTTTACCATCGGGGGTCAAATGCGGACAACTGGGTCAAGAGAGCCTGCCCATCGAAGGGAGAGGGCCGGAGGAGAATACGCGTCTTATCTCTTCCCTTTCCTTCTCTTTCCTGACGTTGCCCCATGCCTCAAATCCTCTTACATACCCCCCCCGAGACCAAGAGCACACAGGCTTCCTCACTGACTCTGATCGAGTTCCAGGGGGTGTTGGCGGCTAATACGGTGGACATGTCTGGGCTGGATATTGGGCTACTCAAGGTGTCCAAGGAGACAGTAAGGCGGTTGGGGGAAGTGGGTCTGATCGAATATCTCTCCTTCTCCACCTTACCTCCTCTTCTCTTAGGGCAAAGTGACTTTACGCGTTGGTCTTCACCTCCTGGAGGGAAAGGTGGTCAAGTTGCCCAGACCATTGGCGGTCCTTGAACGACCCGTGCCCCCCTCCTCCTCCCAGTCCGGGTCGAATGGGATGACCTTGGAGGATCAGACTATGACAGATTCATCCTCCAAGAACGATGCGCCTCCACCTGCATTACGCGTCCATCAATTCATCCGAGAAAAGATCATCTTTTCCAGTCGGCCCATTCCAATCCTCGGGAGCGGATAGGGTCTAGGTCTAGGTCTAGGTCGCTCGAGTATATTGTATTTCTATTTCTATTTTGGTTTCCATTGCTGTTATAAATATGATCTTTTGTTTTCCCAAGACATCTCATATGGGCGGTCTGGCCATCCAAAAAAGGAGGACATGGCTGTAGAATGTCTATGTGTGGGGAGGGCGCGGCCCTAGAAAATTCACCCTGTCCCTTCTCTTCCTCCCCATCACCACGACCTTTTTATCTTCCCATCCTACGAGTGCGCAATGACCACCAACGAGACGAAAGAGAAGCAAGTCCAGGATGGAACGGGATCCACCCCGTCCTCGAACGAGGGTCAAATGTACTATGATTGCTCTTGTCCTGTCTCTCCCCCCTTGCCCTATCCTCACCGTCCTTCTTTGCCCTAGGGAGCAAGTGGCAGACGTACTTCAAAAGAGCCTTGAAGGGGTCAATTCTTCGTTTAGCAAGGTGTACGGCGTAAGTAGGCTTGCTGGACTAGGGTTCCTCAAGGCGGAGACCCATTGACCCCTTCCTTTCCCTCCAGGTTCTTGCAAGTAGCATGCAGCAGAGCGTGGCGTTGGCGCAGAACGTAGGCTCAGTCATGGAGCAACTGCTGTGCATGAATCTAAAGATTGGTAAGATGTTGATAGATGGATGTGTCCTTGCATGGCCCTTCCCCTCCCCTTCTCACCTTTCTCCCTGATCCTGATCCTGATCCTGATCCCATGGGTAGAGAGTGAGGTACTTCCGAGATTGGATGGGGAGAGAAGCTGCGCTACCCCATCGCTATGTCTTGTCCTTCGAGTGCATAATTCAGGTACCATCCCCATACCAGGCATTTCCGGCCACATTGCCTTTCAAACTCCCCTTGTCTCGTCCTCTTCCTCTACGGAGGAAGAGGATGAAGTCAAAGTAGAGGTGGAGTCGGTGGGATGGAGCGATTCTTCCGATTCTTCAAGACCTCCTGTACCCATGTAAGGAATTTTCTCTTTTCCCCTTCCCTACATCCTCCTCTTACGTTTCTGTCCCCCCGGTCTCGTGTAGTTCGCTGTGGACCTCTGGGGATCCTGCATCAGATCCACCATCCACCGTGCTGATGCCTCCACACACCACCCTGGAAAGTCGGTTGATCCTTCATCCTGGGGCTCCTCGTCAACGAAACATCTTCATCACCCTTTCCTTCCCTTCCCCAGGGACGGGAAAGGCTCTTAAAGTGGAGAAGAAGTCGGGATTTTATCTCCTGGATCAGGCCCATCGACGTTCCCTGTCCTCTGAGGAGGCTGCCTCTATCCAGTCCGGATGGGGGGAGGGATCGTCTGGTCTGACCCAAGTGTCCCTGGAAGCCCTTCGTCAGCTCTTTTCTCTTTCCCCCATCCGAGGCATGTCCCAAGGGGATTGTATGCTGTGTCAATGGAATGGAGTGACTAAGGTGGGTCTGGGGACGGGATTGAGATCGAGCCATACACTAACAAGCAACAACACCACACCATCTTTCGTCCCTCTCAGGACGGCGAAATGGGGCAGGTGGTACTTATACTCGATACCCTTCATCCCTCAGGCCAGACTGGGGACCTGCTAATTCAGATTCAGAACCTTCCCGAGCCCTTTGCTCACTCTGTCCTTGGGGAACTCAAGATCATTGTCGGTGCTACTTCAGTAATGTCTGGTTAAGCACTGTTGTGATCATTGAACCGAATAGTGTCCCAACCCTTCTTGTGATTCCCCCCCCTCTCCGTATTCAAATTATCATTATGTGTGTGTGTGTGTGTGTGTATGTGTGTGTGTCCCAACGGTAAATAGCCGTAGTGTGCCTTCGATCATTCTAGGCCCTCTGAGCCGTGGGTAGTGGCATCCAGAATCATCCGCTTGAGCCGTCCACACACTTCCCCTTTCAATGAGGGGATGATGGGGGTGTGTGGGATACACCCGCTCGCATGTGCCCCTCCTTTACTATGTAAGACCTTACACCATCCCCCGTCATTCCCCTTACTCAATATGTCTCTGACAAGCCCCTCACTTCGGGGAGAAGGTGCTGGAAGCAATCAAGGTAGAGAGGAGTGTATGTCTAGGATGTCTGAGACGAACGACAGCAGCGAGAGCGTGGCCCACTGCAACCAAACGTCATTCCCTCCTACAGTCAGTCTAATGGATGATTCAAAAGAAGGTCACTTGGATATCTTTCAGCGGCAATTCTCCTTTAAGGGGTGTATTCAGCTTTACTACTCGAAGCGCCTTCCCACTCGTCCCTTCTTCCCTTCTTCTTCTCCTTCTTCCTCCTCCTCCTCCTCTTCGACTTGTTCGTCCAATACTACTTTGTTCCCTCTTGGCTTTCTCCCTTCCTCTCCCTTAACCAACCACCTTTCCAGTATATACACACACTCATGGGTAAAGACTACTACAGTCTCTTGGGCGTGAGTAAAGACGCCGATGAAGCGGCCATCAAGAAGGCTTACCGCAAGCAAGGTACGTTGACAATTATCTCCCTGCTCTCTCCCACCCTATCTCATCTTCTCCCTTTCCCTTAGCCTTAAAATGGCATCCGGATAGAAACCCGGATAACAAGGAAGGTGCCTCGAAAAAGTTTAAAGAGGTCTCCGAAGCCTATGAAGTTTTATCCGATAAGCAGAAACGTACCATCTACGATCAGTTTGGTGAGGATGGTCTCAAGGGTGGAGGCCCTCCCCCGAGCGGTGGTGGCGGAGGTGGTCCTGGAGGGGGCATGCCCGGCGGAGGCTTCTCTGGCTTCCCCGGCGGCGCTACCTTTTCCTTTTCCTCCACCGGCGGCCCCGGAGGTGGTGCTTCTGGCTTTAGACCCTCACGACCCGAAGACATTTTCGCTCAGTTCTTTGGCGGAGGCATGGGAGGAGGCATGGGGGGTGGTATGGGGGGAGGTGCAGGGCCCAGCTTTTCATCTCATGGTGGAATGCCCGGTGGATTCATGGATGAGGATGACGTCCACATGGGAGGCGCTTCCGGTCATCCCTTTGGCGGTGGGTACGGCGGTGGTCCCTCCGCCCCCAGGAGACCTCCTGTCGCCACCAGGAACCTCCCTTGCACCCTAGAGGAGCTGTACACTGGGACCACGAAGAAACTCAAAGTCACCCGGAGACGCGGAGGCAAATCCGACGAGAAGATCCTCTCCGTCACCGTCAAGGCCGGTTGGAAGGCCGGCACCAAGATCACATTTGCCGGAGAGGGCGACGAGGCCATGGGTCATGCTGGCTCCGCCCAGGACATTGTCTTTGTCATTGCTGAGAAACCCCATGGCGTCTTTTCCCGAAAGGACAATGATCTGCAAGTCAGCTTGAATCTCTCCCTCAAGGAGGCCCTATGTGGATTTGACCGTACCATCCGTACCCTCGATGGTCGCACCCTCAAGGTTCCTGACACCCTGGGTGTCATCTCCCCCGGCAAGCAGGCCCGTATCCCTGGGGAGGGCATGCCCATCTCCAAGAAACCCGGTCAAAAGGGCGACCTTATCATCACCTTTTCCGTCGAGTTCCCCCGTGGTCCTCTGGACGCTTCTCAAAAGGATGCTATTCGTAAGGCTCTTCCTTGAACCTGCTGCTTTTCTAGAGGGATGTGGCGGGCTGCTGGGATGTGGATACAGGCTTGCTTCTTTTTGATGTGGTGATCCAAGGGAGAGGGCCTTGGGCAGTATGTGTGTGCGCGTAAAAATCATCCTATCCTTTCCGTGTATCCATGGCATTCGCGTTGTTTATAACGATGATGACTATTGAGAGAGTGAGGTCTTTCATGTGTGCATCATAACCATCACTCATCATGCAATATCATGGTAACGGGGATCTGGCCGGACCCTGATTATATATACTTTGATGCTTACTCGTCATCTCGATTGAAAACACGATGGCCTTACGGGGTGTTCACTAACCATCATGGTCTCCTTCAAGTACCTCTTGAATCTTTATACAATATTAAATCCATCCCCCCTTCGAAAAATTGTCATGGTGGAATCTCCCATTAAAAGCACCCTTCAACAAGGCCCCATACTCAGGTGATTCAATCTCCGCATAGTGTTATACGGCTTCCTATCTCCTGACACAGCCCCATGCTGTACTGGCCTGTTTCCTGGTCCATGTCTATTGAAACTCCGATTTTGAGGGTTCAACACGGTATCCTTGTCCATTCATATGGGCTCTGCTTCTGCTCTGTACAGCTTCTTCTTTGCC